AATACCCAGAAGACTTTTCCGTACGGTTACCTGCTCCCTGAAATCCCCACAAAAACAGAACCACACACGTCAACACCCAAGTCACAAAAATGCTGACATTTAGGAAAGGGATTGCACGTAGACTGCCTCCTGTAGAATTCCCTCCACTTTGTCCCTTCCACTCCTCCCCCCCCTTCCCCACTCCTCCTTCACCAACAATATATTTTCCTGTCAAAACATACTTGGTTACATGCAGGGCAACCAAAATTGCTGCTATTAGCTTAATTGAGACAGGGTGATTATAAATAAATTACATGCAGTGCTACTGAAATTGCTGCTATTAGCTTAATTGAGACAGGATGATTAGTCATCATCAACTGAAGCTTAATTCAGAGTGTACTGTGCATGGCTGCAGAGATCCTGTGGTCATCTGGCTGCCCAAAGGATCAAGGCCAAACCACCAAGAGATGGACTTCGGGGCCACAGCTCCCTTTCCCTGGCAACCGAGAGAACAAAAGTCCTTGTAGCCTGGTTGGGGGGTGGGGGGAGTTCTTGACGGCTGATAATGAACTTCTTAGGCACTTTGAGCTGGAAAGGACTGTGGTTAGAAACGTTCCCTGTGGAAAATCTGTGTAGAAAAGTATATATGTACGTGTGTCGACGTGTCTCAGTATGTGAATCTTCTGTCGCTTCCTCACAATGATTTGAGACAGATTTGTAATGCTATTTTACTTTTTTTACTAAGTATAAAAGAAATCCATACTCACAGTACAAAACCTCAAAAGCATGAATCGTATAGAAAAATCAAAGTTACTCTCTCATTTTTGTAACGTTTGTTAGGCCCTGGTGTACTTTTTCCATCACTTCATTTGTACATTCCCTCCATCATAGTTGATACCTCCTGGATATGCAATTTTATATTAAGCTTTTTTTTTCACTGATGAAAATATCTTCAAACTACCTAGACAACGTACATTACGGATCAAAGATAAAGAGCCGAATAGGGCAGAGAGATTGTCACGGGCTTCTCACTCCTGGAGGCAGCATGATGAAGTGAAAATCCACTGGTTAAGGGAGATCTTCCCTCATCCCCCTGGTTTCCTGCCGCAACCCTCAAACCTCAGCTCGTCAGCCATGGTGCAAACAGAAAACTCCCATGGAGGTGCTCTGTGGGCTTCATTTTTCTCATATCTTGATCAAAATATAGAAATATTCTCCAAGACGCCTTATAGGTGCAAAAGTCTATGCTGTATACTTAAGGGCTGGGGAGAGCCATTTATTACAGACTGTTATTTTTTTTAATTTTTTTTTATGTTTATTTATTTCTTAGACAGAGAGAGACAGAGCATGAGTGGGGGAGGGGCAGAGAGAGAGGGAGACACAGAATCAGAAGCAGGCTCCAGACTCTGAGCTGTCAGCACAGAGCCTGACGTGGGGCTCGAACTCACAAACCGTGAGATCATGACCTGAGCCGAAGTCGGTCGCTCAACCGACTGAGCCACCCAGGCGCCCCTATTACAGACTGTTAAATAAGACTTGTAGGTGAGAATGACTGTGGTCCACCAAACCTTAATGATTGGCAAGTATTAAGTTCACATTTTGAGTCCTAACTATGGAGATGTGTTCTTCCTTTAGCCCGGTAGGCAGGCTCCTAAAGGGATGCATTCAGTGCTGCTGGGAAATCAAATCCTGGTGCCCAGTTTACTTACTGCATCATCCCAAGGCAACTTATCTTCATCCAATAGAAGGGCACCAAGGGTAGTTTTAAGTTTTCAGATTCCTAAGCCTTCCTTCCTGTAATTAATGACTCCAAACCATTCAGCACTGTGAGGAAAACCGAAGAGCTATATTTTGTAATAACTGTGTCATGGAATGTTTTCCAAACTGAATAATCACTTAATTTACTTGGGACCTGAATTTGGAATAAGAATACGTAGTAATTTTAATTTTCTGGTGTGAAACATTCAGATTTCTCTTTCTCAAAATATATCTTAAGAAGCAAACTAAGACATTCTTTCTTCCCTCCCTCCCTCTGATCATCCCTTCCTCCTTCCTTCTTTCCCTCTTTCAACAAGTGTTTGTAGTTCTTTTCTGTATGGCGGACTTTATGCTACAGACTCTCAGATTACAAATATATACGGACCCTGGTTCTTTGGAACTGCTGGCAGACTCTGATTGAAAACAATGACACCACCAACAACAAAATAACCAACCAACCAGCCAATCAGACAAGACAAAACAAGAAAATATCTAAAAATCAGGGAGTACTTATCCTTTAAAAATACTTCTCTAAATATGACACTCCATGATGCAAGCCCTTGTTTATGATTCATCAACACCTTGGTTTGAAGGGAAGGTGGGGCAGGTGGTAGAGGTCCTCCCTTATTGGGAAATTCTTGGAATGAACAAAGTAAGTTCTAGTATGATGCTAGTCTCTTGTTTTTCTAAAATTCAGGTACTATCATTTTTTTGGTAAAATACCCCCCCTCCCTTTCCAGGTTTATTAAGATATAATTGACACATAACATTGTGTAACTTTAAAGTGTATAACGTGATGATTTGGTACACATATATATCGCAAAATGATTATAACAGTAAGGTTAGTTAACACCTCTGTCGCTTCACATGATTGCCATTTGTGTGTGTGTGTGTGTGTGTGTGTGTGTGTGTGTGTGTGTGTGATGAGAATATTTAAGATCTACTCTGTTACCAACTTCCAAGTATATAATACAGTATTATTAATTATAGCTACTATGCTGTACATTTCCAGAACTTACTCATCTTACAATTGCAAGTCTGTACCCTTTGACCAACATCTGCTCATTTCTCCCACCCCAGCCCCTGGCAACCACCATTCGACTTTGCTTCTATGAATTCAGCTTTTTTTTCAATTTTACATAGAAGTAAGACAATGCAGTATTTGTATTTCTCTGTCTGACTTACTTAGCACAATAACTTCACAAGTCATCCATGTTGTTGGAGGTGGCAGGATTTCCTTCTTTTATGGTTGAGTGGTAGGATATATATCTGTATTATATTACTATACTATATATTATATATTATAATACATGTGATATATATGGGTACATCTTCTTCATCCTTTCGTCTATTGACAGACACTTAGGTTGTTTCCATATGTTGGCTATTGTGAGTAATGCTACAGTGAACATGGAATATAGATATCTCTTCAAGATCTTATTTTCATTTCCTCTAGATGGAAACCCAGAAGTGAGACTGCTGGTTCATATGGTAGTTCTGTATTTAATTTTTTGAGGAACCTTCATACTGTTTTACATAGTGGCTGCACCAATATACATTCCCATATGCAGTACGTGAGGGTTCCCTTTCTTCCATATCCTCACTCATTCTCTCTTGTCTTTATGATGATAGCCATTCTAAAAGGTGTCAGGTGGTATCTCATTGTGGTTTAGATTTACATTTCCCTGAAGATGAGTGTTGGGCATCTTCTCAGGTACTTACTGACTACATGTATTTCGTCTTTAGAAAATGTCTGTTCAGTTCTATGGCTTATTTTTTAAATGGAAAACTTAGGGCTGCGTTGTAGGAGTTACTTATATATTTTAGGTATTTACCTTATATTAGATATATCGGTTTGCAATATTTTTTTCACATTCCGTTGGTTGCCTTTTCATTTGGTTGGTTGTTTCTTTCACAGTGCAAAAGTATTAGTTTGACATAGTCCTACTGGTTGACTTTTACTTTGTTGCTTGTACTCCTGGAGTTATATCCAGAAAAATTATTGTCAAGAAGCAATCCTTCTTGAGAAAGAAGAACAAAGGTGGAGGTGTCGCATGTCTTGATTTCAAATTATATTACACAGCCATACAAATCAAAACAGTATGGTACTGGCATAAATTGACCAATGGAACAGAATTGAGAGCCCAGAAGTAAAGCCATGCATATGCAGACAGCTAATAGTTGACAAGGGAGCCAAGAATACTCAATGGGGAATGGATGATAGTCTCTTCAGTAAATGGAGTTGGGAAAACCAGATATTCACATGCAAAAGAATGAAATTAGATGCCTATCTGACACCCCTTGCAAAAATCAACTTAAAATGGATTAAAGACTTAAGTGCAAGACCTTAAGCCATAGGACTCCTAGAAGAAAGTGCAGGGAAAATGCCCTTTTAATTAATTGGGCTCATCTCTGACTAAGGTATATGTCCCACCAACACTGAAAGACACCCTTGGCTTCTTTCCACTCTTCAGAAATATGCTGCTTATGGGGGTGGGGTGCCCGGGTGATTCAGTTGGTTGAGCATCTGGCTCTTGATCTTGGCTCCAGTCATGATCTCACGGTTTGTGGGATCGAGCCCCGCCTCAGGCTCTATGCTGAGTGTGGAGCCCGCTTGGGAGTCTCTCTCTCTTCCTCTCTCTCTGCCCCTCCCCCACTCACATGCCCCCCTCAAATAAATTATATATATATATATACACATATATATGTGTGTGTGGTAGTATATATATATATATATATGTATATATATATAAAAGAAACATGCTGCTTATGATTGTTGGGGGAAAGGCTGCCTGCCGGTGGGTGAGCCTCAAAGGAGAAATGATTATCTTCATTTTTCTATATTGAGATTGATTTCTCAGGTGAGCCCCTGCTGCGGTATAAAGGTTGACCCTGAAGTGCAATGAAAACAGCATGAAACTGGTACAACACATTCCATCCTTTTGCTTGACTCTTCCTGGGCCACTGTTTGTATTTCTGGATGCATGAGGATAAGTCATACTGAGCTACCATGCAAGATTTTTGTGGGACTTACAGATAAAGTAAGTCCCTAGCACACATAGACAGGCATATAATAAAGACCCAATAAATACTATTTTAAAAAATTGCAATAGCAGCAAGCACGTACCTGTTTGTTTATCAAGAAGCTGAGGAAGGAGAGCGGGGCTGTCAGAGCTCACAGAGCCCCCATCTGTGTCCTTGCCAGGGGACATGCTAGGCCTCTGCCTGGGGCCTTGAGAAGTCAAGTGTCTCCTCTCTCCTAGGGTTTTAAGGATCCTGTGTATTCAAAGCACTGGAAGCGAAGTCGACACAAGCTCACAGCCACCGACAGTGTGGGGTCCCACTTGCTAGTCTTTGGAAATATAGTTTGATTCTTCCCCGGCTTTCACCTTTTCCCTTCTCGTTCAAGTTTGGAAAATACCAGCATAGTGAGTCCTCACTGGCGATGGGCGATACAAGGCCACAATACGCGCGGTGGTGGTGGCAGGTAGTGTGGTGGTGGTGGTGTGTGTAGCCATATGCTGCTGCTTTTAAAATATGTGTGTGTTTAAACCCTCCCTTTAATAACACATGTTCAAAAAAAAAAATTGCTGCTAGACAAAACAAAATTACCCACCGTGCCGGGCCGGCCTTCTCCCCAGCTTTGTTGTGTCCTTATGCGCTAACTAACGTCTGAAGTAATTACAAAAGGCCTCGCCCTGAATAACACAGCCTGTGGTATTCTCCACATTAAACAGGGAAGAAGGAAAAAGAGAATCATTTACATTCAAGGAGGAGTTGGCTGCTTTACTGAAATAATGAATCATTTGAGGTTTTAGATGAGCCGTGCCTCAGCGTTCTTCTTTGATCTGATCTGACCCAGCTGCGAAGGGCAATTTTCAGAGGAGCTTATTGTTTTCTGTCTGGGATTCTACCCTATTTTAGCCAAAGGAAAATGCAAATATCAAAGATGTCAGTTTGGGAAGGGAGCTGTTTTTGCTGTTTTGAGCCCTCAGGAACTACAGAAATGCTACCACGGGGAAACAGCGTTTGAGGCCTGAGCTCCATTCCTGAGTTAAGACGTGAGAAAAGACATGCACAAGATGAGACATAAATGTTGACCAGGATCTGGGACACCTGGGTGGCTCAGTTGGTTAAGCATCTGACTCTTGATTTCAGCTTAGGCCATGACTTCATGGTTCGTGGGTTTGAGCCCCATGTCAGGCTCTGCGCTGGAGCCTGCTTGGGATCCTCTCTCTCTCTCTCTCTCTCTGTGTCTCATTCTCTCCCCCCCCCAACCCGCCCATCTCATTCTCTCTCTAAATAAATAAATAAAAAAATTTAAAAAGTTGACCAGAACCCTGAGGGATGGTACTTTAACAGCTTTGATAGATTCTGAGGGCTATGAAAATAATAGGGATCTGTTGACTGAATACAAAGTTACCGTCCAGATGGAAAGACCTCCGGAGAAAATAAGACAATTCCCTTCTCTGAATGACTCCCGGCAGTGGAAAGATCCAGAACTTTGGTTAAACCTGATTTTGGTTAAACCTAGGCCCATCTGGGTTTGGGGCCTTGGCTTGTGACAAACAGGAACCACAGAACATGGCAACCTCTCCCCACTTTGCCTTTGCCCTAACATGGTCAGGTGAACACCATCAAATCGGGTACAGACAGGAGACTTTTTCAGGTAGCCAATAATAATAACTTAAATTTATGATCTCCTTGCTCTGTCTGGGGCTTTGCTAAATGCTTTGCTTACATTATTTCATTATCTTATTTAGTCTTAATAATAATTCCCTGGTTTTCAGATGGGAAAAGTAATGCTCAATACAGTTAAGTAACTTACCAAGGTCATAATATAACTAGTAGGTGGCATCATCCCCTTTTGAATTCAGATTTCTCTAACTCCAAAGTCATTCTTACCCACTTCCCTGAGCGCCGGGATTCTCAGCGTCAAGAGACCACACTTCTCCATATAATCCAGGAGCTGCTTAGGAAGGACATTCACTTACTGCCTGGCTCTTGCGATTTGAGGAGAGAAACTGATCCCCTAACCTTCTTTCCATAAAAATGTTAAACCTGGGGCACCTGGGTGGCTCAGTCAGTTAAATGTCTGACATCAGCTCAGGTCATAATCTCACAGTTTGTGAGTTCAAGCACCACATCTGGCCGTCTGCTGTCAGCGCAGAGCCCGCTTCAGATTCTCCGTCCACCTCCTTCTGTCTGTCCCTCTCCTGCTCATGCTTTCTCTCTCTCAAACATAAGTAAACATTTAAAAAAATAAATAAAAATGTGAAACCTAATGGAGAAGCCTGGAATGGATTGAATGCCTCACCATTCTCCATGTTTATCAAGTAAGTTAAATTGATTATTGAAAACCATCCATGGATGCCTGGCACTCTGAGAATCGTTAGAGATCTTCTAGTCAATTTCCCCATTTTTACAAATGAATCTCAGATGGTTAAGTGATGTGGCCAAGGTCATGTGGCTAGTAGGGCTGAACTTGTTCTCAAATTCAAAGCCTATTTCAGAACTCGTTTTAGCTCCTCTCTTTTAAACTTTTGACCCTGTTTACCATCCCTTTCTTCTTTGAAATGGTCTCTTAGCTCAGTATCTGGCACAGTGGATTTTCATTATTCGAGGATTACTTGCTTCATTTATTTGAGACCTCCAATTCAATTTTTGTGGCACTTTTGCAATCATTCCCAGACATGCACAGAGTGGGGGAAGATTGGAGTTGCCTGATGCACGAGGTCTCAGACTGAACAAGGTGACACTGCCTTCTTATTTCAGCTTCTATACTATAAATAACTATTCTTATTGAAGTCTATTTAGATTAGAGACCCGGTTGCCGAATTTTTGCATTTTTTGGTTGATCATTTTCCTGTTTAAAATGCCCCCCTCCCCCCAGCACAGTGGTGAAGTGCCGTCTAGGGTTCCTAAGTGTGAGAAGGCTGTAATGTGTTTATGGAGAAAATGCGTGTGTTAGATAAGCTTCGTTCAGGCAGGAGTTATAGTGCTGTCGAGATCAACGTTAATGAATCAGCCGTATATATTAAATAAGATTTCCTTATACAAAAGCCCACACAAAACGAAGTTAGGTGTTATCAGTTGATGAAAATGTGACAAGAGCTCATGGGACCCTAGTCCTGTATTTTCTTCTGGACCAGTGGTTCTGCATTCAGAGTCCAGCTCAGAGCTCATGGTGACCTTATGTAGCACAACTACCACATATAAAGAGAATCAAATGTATTCTACTCTCTACTGATTTCCCTCCCTCCTTTCTGAGGTTTGTTCCCAGTTCTCCCTGGCCTGTTCATCTCACCCCAGAGCTTGTAATGTCTTTCAGACTCAACTTTGGCCCTCTTCCTTGGTTTCTGCCACCCTCCATACCAATAGCCCCCACGTTCGGATCTCTGGCACTTTCCGCATGGGGAATGAGGCCCAAGCTCCTGCGTTATGAGTCATGGAACCACAGGATATTGATCACGTGACAGAATGTATCTCCTAAATTCCAGGGCCCACCCCAAGAGCAAGACCCACAGAGTCCATGCCCTCAGGGGAATACGGGGAAGGCGGTGACAAAAGTAACAGTAAACGAGATAGGTGTTCCCAAAGTTAAAACTTGGCTGTCCCGAGGCCGTATAATTAGGAGTTGGAATGTAGATTGGGCAACTGGGTCAGCAGGAAGTAAAGTTTAGGCTGAGAATTAAAGATTGAGCTGGAGTTTACAGCCAAAGAGAATGGGACTAGTGAAGGAGAGAGGGTGGCCCGTTTAGCTACGGGGCTTTTGTTTTGAGATGTGCATATCGGGGGCCAGAGTCAATTCCTATGGAGGGTGAAGAAGCGACTAACTGCCACCACTGCTAACTAAGGACCTCTTCTCCGCCCATCTGCCGAGTGGTGCTCCGACTCTCCTGCCCAAGCACATTTAATGAAAGTCTTAAAACATCAGGTTGAAGAGGCGCTGAAAAATGGCAGTTGCAGTTCTGAGGCACCAAATTACTTGTCTTGTGATAAGTACCTATGTGGGAAGATCTGGTGTAAAATAAGACTCCAAGGAGAGGGAAGGCTATGCCAGGTGCTGCAGTGTCTTGAATGCCGTATTTGGTTGGTGAAATAATTCAGAAACAACATCGTCTACTTAAAACACTTTTTTGAGGAAGGATCCTAATTGGCTTAACTAGATATCTCTTCCTTATTTCAAACTAAATGGACACTCAACCTAAAATGTCTTAGTTTAGTTTACTTAATGAGACTATGACTTGATGAGAATAATTGACAATTTCTTCAAAGATCAAGGATCTTATGAAACCTCAGGTCTCTTGATGGAAGTGGAAGATGGAATAAAATGTGCTGTGTTTACTTTCTAAGTAAACCATGGAAGTTAGTGTGTACGTATGAGACAGAGAGAGAAAATAAATTCTGAAATGTTTACTACATCCAGACAGCACTTCAGAGATGACGTATTTGACTCTTATTACAATATTACAAGATGGATTTGACTGTCCTTATGTTGAATATATATATGGCTCAGAAAGTGGCAATAACTTGCTCAAGTTGCCACACGCTTCTGTCCCTCCCACCCTCCCTCCCTCTCTCTGACTCTGGAGTCCTCTGCATTGGCCCTGCTCTCTGGCCATGGGTGGCGTCTCTCTTGGAGGTGGGCCCAGCACCACCAGGCTGACACCTCAACACAATTAGAGGTTCTATCTCCTTCCAACAGGTTCCGCAAAAGTTTTCTCTGTGAGTCTCATTGGCTCTGATTAGAACATGGGCCCGTCTCTCAGCCACTGTCTGTGACCAGGGAAATGAGATGCTCTAAATAGCCAGGCCTGGTCACATGCCCAGGTAAGGGTGGTGGAGTCTCCTCCCACCTGAACCTGAGGCTGGGAGGGGAGGAGGCTGCTTTACTGGAAGAATGGGGAAGGGACATGGCACACCTGGAAAGGTAACTATTAACCAAAGGGACATCATGGTACCCAGGATGTTACTATCTCTTTTTTTTTTTTAATTTTTTTTGGGGCGCTTTGCTTATTTATTTTTTTTTTTTGAGGAGACGAGAGAGAGAGACAGAGCGAACAGGGAGGGCAGAGAGAGGTGGGAGATACAGAATTGAAAACAGGCTCAGGCTCTGAGCGTCAGCAGAGAAAGCCCGGACAAGGGCTCAACTCATGGACCATGAGATCATGACCTGAGCCGAAGTCTGACGCTTGACCGACCGAGCCACCCAGGCGCCCCTGTTACTATCTCTTAAAATTGTATTACCAAATAGCAAATCACCTTTCTTTTTAAATAAGACTCAGTTATGATAATTATCCATTATCCAGTGGTATTATTATTTGTCAGCACCAATATTTGGTACTTTGTACATAGTATTTCACCTAATTCTCCTCTATACCTCCCAAATAGTTACTTATCAGCCCATGTACCAGCGGCACAGATTAGATTTAGAGAGGTTTACTAAATTGCCAGAGCAGTTATTCAGCTAGGAACTTGTAGAGCCAAGTAGTGAACCCTTCTCTGTCCATGTTCGAAGCCTGCTTTTTCCCTCCATCAGCACTTAGCCCGGAAATAATGGTGCATCCTCAGGCAGGGGCTTGCCTGATGTTTTCTTTTCACAAACCCTGCTGGCCATTATAGGGTCTTCTGAGTTTGTGTTGCTTCCAATGCATCAGCAAAAATCTGCCCTAATCTCTGCCCACCTTTCTGTGGAACATAACACTGACTTTGCTTTAATGGCCTTGGATGAGCTACAGCTTCGAAAGGGCAGGAGAAACCTAGTTTGGAGCCTGAGGATGATCCAGCCTGAGAATGATCCAGATTCTTAAGCAAAAAGTTCTGCCTCGTCCTAGACACTGTGTACCCTGTTAGGAAACAGGTCTGTAGTGCAAAGAACAGTCGCTGGATTTTTAAAAGTCAGGCTCTGTTTGATTTTCATTTGTTTTTACTCTTGAGAACACAGCTCATTCTTAGATGTTTTTCAAAAGGACCTTTTGAACTACTGACTCTCAAACTGTAGTGTATCCCCTGGAAGCTTATTGCAGTCCAGATGCCTGGGCTTTCTCTTCCCCCACAGATTCAGGATCTATGGGACAGGGTCCAACATATGTATTTTAACCAGCTCCCTGTAGCTCTGTTATGTCATAACAGAAGATGCTACAAAAGCAGATCTTATACCTGGCATGGGTTTAAATACCTAAGGTCAGAAATATCAAATCTAGGGGCACTTGAGTGGCTCAGTCTGTTAAGCGTCCAACTTCGGCTCAGCTCATAATCTCACGGTTCATGAGTTCGAGCCTCATGTCAGACTCTGTGCTGACAGCTCAGAGCCTGGAGCTTGTTTCAGATTCTGTCTGTCTGTCTGTCTGCCCCTCCCCCACTCATGCTCTGTCTGTCTCTCTCAAAAATAAATAAAACATTAAAAAAATTAAAAAAAAAGAAATATCAAATGTAGCAAGTGCATGCCCACTAAACAAGGGTCTCAGGCTCACAGTCCATATATTAAATCCACTTTAGACCGCAGATATAATTGCGTTAGTTGACATAATGCAAAACACGATATTGCTTTACTTGAACTTGGATGCCTTTGTTTAGAAAGAGGATGTGTCTTTCAGTTGTCTTGGCTGCCACCCTCCACTGTCCATACCCACTACTTTGCCCCTTTACGTTACCCGCTGGGCCCTTGCAGTTAAGTGAATTTCCACTCTGGGTAAACAATTGGAGAGAGAGAAGAGCAGAAAGGCCAAGTGATTTTCCAAAGCGAGAACAAATCTCTGGTGCGGTTGGTGAGTTGAGAGCTTGTATCGTGGCTTAGCCAAATTGCATGAATGTTTCCTATATCAAGAAGTGGAACTTTCTTCTTTCGAATAACTTATGAAACCCCCTGTAGTCTGTGACGGTTCACAGATTCTGGACCTCCCTCCCTCTGCTAATGCTCCTTCTTCCTCTGCTTTACACCTGCCTTTCTGGAGACAAATCTTTCATGCCTATATTCCAGTGGGCAGCCTATCCCTCGAGTGGAATACACAGAGGAAGAAAAGAAAACCTGGGGGACGGTGTTCAGGACCCTGAAGTCCTTGTATAAAACTCATGCTTGCTATGAGCACAATCACATCTTCCCGCTTCTGGAAAAGTACTGTGGCTTCCGCGAAGATAACATTCCCCAGCTGGAAGAGGTTTCTCAATTTCTGCAGAGTAAGTCTACTTCAGGGACAAAAGTGGGGGGAGCAGGAGGGAAGGGAAAGGGAAGAAAGTAAATCACGGCTAGTACCAGGGTATGTGTGGTGCTGCAGGCAGGTTGATGGTCGGAAAAACAAATCTCACTGCTGGGCTCTGCCTCACCACCAGCTTCCACTGTTAATCCACTCTCATCCAAGACAAGGCATCGTGTGTGGGTTTTGCGGTATCCCTGTCCCTGAAAAGCATTTTTTTTTCCCATTCTCAAAGTCCCAGGTGCCCAGGCAGGGTTCTCCTCGCAGTTCCCTCTGGGTTATAGATGGCTGCAGTGTGCTTTGTGTACGAAATGTGTTATTTGTGGCAGTACCAAGAGCCCTGAGCTCTAAGTCCATGCCTCTGACTAGTAGGAATCTTGCTTTGACCCCATCTAGTTGGGTGAACCTGCCTCAGTTTGCTCACCTGTCAAATAGAGACTGTCTCGTAGGGAAATTGTGGGAATGAAAAAAGACGTAGTAAGTGAAAACACCCAGCATGGTGCTACATATACAGGGGGTGCTCAGTGAATTTGGGCTGAATTGGAATCTGAGTAACTCTTGGGGGGGAAAACATTATTGGGATGCCTGGCCCCTGCACATCATTTCCAAGTGAGGTAAGTATTTTCCTTTCTGCCTGGAGACATTAGTTTGGCAAAACCAAGATAAGACCCACCAGCTAACGCATACTAAACACCTAGTATGTGGCAGGTAGAATGAGAGAAAGTAGGAGGACAGACCACAGGTTTACAGAAATGAAGAAGTTTCTATGGCTCTGAGCTGTGTGGAAATGGTATGGCCGGCTCTGGGGCAAGGAGCCAGGGAGATTATGTGGCAGGGAAGGAAATGGCAGCTGGGATAGACTGGGGATGAGCTAGATGAGCTTTGGGTCCCTTCTATCTAGAGGGTCTCTACTTGCCAGTTGAAGAGGGAAATGAGAGGCCAAGCAGAGTGAATTTCAGCCTGCAGGTCCAAGGGACATAGGCAGATGGACAGCAGGTCCTCAAGGCATGCTCTGGCTAAATATCCATTTTGCCATGACCAATAGTGAGATAATAAAGTGGTGACACTAGCAGCTGGGGAGTTACAGAGAAGTCATTCAGAGAACAGACTTTGGAGCCAGACTGACTGTAGATGTAACCTTGGACAAGAAATTAAACTTCTCTGTGTCTCAGCTTTCCAATCTGTAAAGTGGGAATAATACAAGTATCTACCTCGTAGGGTTATTAGGAGGATTAGTTAGTAGATAGAAAGTGCTTAGAACAGTATGGCAGGTAGTATATGGTGCTAGCTATCATTACCATCATCATCGTCGTCGTCATCATCATCATCATCACCATCATCACTGATTATTATTCTCCTTCCAAGTTTGAAACAAATTGGGAGACAGATAATTGGAACCAGAGAGAGGATCAAAATGTCAACTTTATTACTGATAAAAGCTACTTAGAGAATGCGGTGTGCATGTACAAACAAAATGAACTTCCTAATATTTCACCTCTGAATTATGTAAACTTATCTACCAATTCATGGTCAACTGTATATTCCATTGCATGGCCAAGAGCAGACCAGAATGTGCACCTCTGTGAGCAGACAGGTGAGAAAGGACCAAAGAGGTCACACGGAGAACATTCGTTTTCTCTTCCCAAATGCTCCAATCAGACAAGTCCTTGCTCTTTGGGGGGTGTATGTGTGAAGGGCAGTAAAGAAGCTGGAAGTATTCCTTTCATCCTTTTCCCTTCTGGAAGTGGAGTGAAAAGTCCCTTTCAACTCTAGAGACATGAGAAATAGGGAATAAGTGTTTCATCCTAATAAACAAGAATGAAAGCTAAATTTATTAAATGTCTCCAATGTGCTAAGGACTTTATATTTACTAGCTCGTTTGATTCTTGGAATAAAGCTAGTAAACATCTATCTACATTTTGCAGATGAGGAAATGAGGCTCAGAGAAATGAAGTTACTTGATGCAAATCGCCCAGCTACAAAGCGTAGGGACAGAGCTGTGAAGCCAAGTCTACTTGGCATCGGCATCTATTCTCCTAGACAGTTGGGTCTACTGCTCCCTTGCCTAAAGCTTTTCAGGCTCCTCTGCCTCTGCCGTGATGGGCATTGAGTTTTCTTTCTCTTTTGCTTCCCAGCTTGCACTGGATTCCGCCTCCGACCTGTGGCTGGCCTGCTTTCCTCTCGGGATTTCTTGGGTGGCCTGGCCTTCCGAGTCTTCCACTGCACTCAATACATCAGACATGGGTCCAAGCCCATGTACACGCCTGAACCGTGAGTATTCTCCTCCTGCTACCAGTATCCAGCCACCGTGAGTGCCATTGATCCCTGCTCCAGGACTGAGGTTTGGGTTCATCGTGGGCTGATCCACAGGACTAGTTTTCTGGATTGTTTGATGGTAGTACAAAGAGAGAGATTCATCTCTTCTGGGGATTTTCTCTGTCCAGATAGACCTTACTGATTGGATATTTGGGCATCTTATGAATCACATATTCAGATCTTCTCTGGCTGTGGGAATAAGAGGTCACAGTCAACCTCCAAAGGGATTGTAGGAATCAGAGCTATGAAGCTCCAAATGTGAACAGGAGCAAGTGGTGACCAGGTGATCTCAGCACCTCCTGAATACACATCTGGATGATTCTGATCTTTCTATGTCTAGATGTGTTTGTATGGAGGTAGAGAATGACCTTACTTTGACAGTTAGCCATCTTATTAATCAAATAAAATAGAACGTATGCAATTTATACAAAAAGTAGGACACCTGGGGCACCTGGGTGGCTCAGTCAGTTTAGTGTCTGACTTTGGCTCAGGGCATGATCTCACAGTTGGTGGGTTCGAGCCCCGTGTTGGGCTCTGTGCTGACAGCTCAGAGCCTGGAACCTGCTTTGGATTCTGTGTCTCCTTTTCTCTTTGCCCCTCCCCTGCTCATGCTCTGTCTCTGTCTCTGTCTCTCTCAAAAATGAAGTAAAAAAAATTTTTTTTTAATAGGACACCCAAAATATTTTTTGCCTGTCCACAAAGTTTATAACTACAAATCAGAAAAGACCTATTTCTAATGGGCCTGGCACATTAAGTGTTAAATAAATGTAAATTTTCTCCTCTGAATGACTTTTGCCCCTCTCTTGAATAAATAAGCAAAGAACAGCACTATTTTTTAAATTTAACTTTTATTTCTCATGGGGAATAACTGAACACATTGCATTTGCCCATGATGTCACTACCAAGATGAAGACTTGGGGTGGGAAGTGTTTGTGACCTACAGCTCACTCAGGTGTATGGGAGGAGGTCCATGGGAATATTGGCTCTTCTGTTCTGCACCCCACTGAGGATATATCTAAGGCCCTCTGGCGTTTGTTCCCTGATTTGCTCCTTACTTTTCTTTTCCCTTCTTCCTTTTCTCTTGTATCTTGCCTCATTTGATCCCAAGCTTTGCATGCCACTAATGAGTGAGGTCATAAACCTGAATGGCTTACCTCCTTTCTACCTGCCTATTTCTCATGTAGAAAAAATGCATCTGGCTTGACTTATAACCTTCCTCACTTCCAAGCTCTGTCCTTTGTGTCTTTCAGTGACATCTGCCATGAGCTGCTGGGACATGTGCCCTTGTTTTCAGATCGCAGCTTTGCCCAGTTTTCCCAGGTGAGGAGTGAATCTTTTTGGCCTTTTAATTATAGAATGAGATCTGGGATTGCTCAATGAATTGAACATATGGAGGGGTCCTTGTGTCCTCTGCAAGGGTGGAAAGCAGACACAGTTCTGTGATCCCACTAGAGATGGGCATATGGTCTCATGGAGATGGCTAAATACCCTTTCAGGGACCCCAGCATGGGGTTGATAAATCCCTCATCCTTGGAATTATATATGTGCTGTTGAATTTGCTAATCTCATTCATCCTACCAGGTTTAGTTTAAGGGTCTTTTTGTCCATGAAATCTTGCCTGATCCTGACAGAGAAGTAACCTTACCTTCTTCCAAGTTCTCCTGGTACCTTTCCCCTCCTCTAGGGACTTGTCGCTTCCAGGCAGCCATTTTTGTATGTGCTTTAATTAGATAAGATAATATTTGCTAAGAATCCAATGCTAGTAGCCCAACTCATAGTTGGCAAAACTAACTAACTAACTAACTAACTAACTAACTAACTAAATAAATAAAGTGCCAAATGTCTTGCCATTATAATCAAAGCTGTAGTCTAGGCCTTGATTCATCTATCACTGTAGTGAGCTTTCTAGATGAGTGACAGGATCCTAGTAATAGCTTCAGGGCACTGAGAGGATAAACTGTGGTTGGGGAGAATTGAGTGATGCACCCACATGTCCCACCCTGACTCTAACCAGCCATGTGACCTGTGTGCCTCAGTCTCCACAAATGTGAACCAATACAAAGCTTTGCCTGCCAATCTTCTTCCTCACAGGGAAGAATAAAGATCAACTGGAATAAAGATCAACTTGAGATCACATACTGCAGCAAATGTGAATTATGGGTTTGTGTGTATTGGGATTGTGTGTAAATTTCATAAGTTTTCCCTCAGCTGGAAGAAATAAATATTTCTATTGTGGATTGAAGAGGCGATCACTTAATACCTGAAACAAACAAACAAACAAACAAACAAAAAAGCTGAATTAACTGCCTGCTAGGTAAGGGAGAACTGCACTTGTAAGACACAATCTGTCTAAACAAAGAAAACTATTGCTTTTATGTGGGGTTTTGGGAGCTGTGGTGTTCTGAGATTGTTGGACTTTTTTAAGTGGAAGTGTTTGAGGATTAGCTAAACTTTAACTCACAAGTGTCACCATTGGATTGAGGCTATTGTTGACCAGCTGACCTTCAGAAAAATCGTTCCTGCTGTCAAGTTGTCATTGATTGCTTTGGACAGCTTTAAAACTGGGTTTTGTTCTTATGGCCAAAGAAAAATCAGTTTCTTCCTTAGAGCATAGGAACTTTTTATTCTCAGTACCAGAAGCTGTTCTGCCCAGTCAGAGGCTAAGTGACAATCCTCCATATGCCATTCCCAGAGGAGTGAACAATTACTTGAGTCGATAGATGGATGCTATTGGGCCATCAGTGTCACATGCTCCAACCTATGCCTGGATAGTCCCAAGGCAGGGTGTCATTTTGAAAGTTCCCTGAGCACATTCTTTTTGGATCTGAAAGGAGGACTTACTTTCCACTTCAATGTAAACACCAGGAGGTCCAGGATTTTTATTGATTTTGTACACTGCCATCCACACAGAAGTCATCCAATAAACATTTTGGAATAAATAAATGCATATAGTAGAGAAGGCAGCATATACCTTTATAGTATCTACACTGTCTGATACAAGACAGGCTGGAGCTCTGATGAGAAGTGGTCCATAGTATTTCAGACTCTCCAGCTATGTATTGACCTGGGTGGCTCTCAAGCACTTCTCTGCAGTTCTCCTGTGGTATCTTCAGGGTACATGATTAAGACACTCCTCTTGTATTCCATGCATGTTCCACTTGAGCTATGGGGGGATAATCACTGAGCTGGAATCAAGGAATGAAGCTTCATACACAACTTACTGTGTGAATTTGAGTAGATCACCTCCCTTCTCTGTGCCTCAGTTTTCTTATTTGTAAAGTAAGTACAAAGGACCAAGTAATGAAGTAAGGTTTCCCTTCTCTTGAGATCTGTGATTGTATGATGTGTGGCTAGGGAAGACTTGAAAGAATAATCAGGGTCTATCTGAGCCGTTGTGAAGGCATGTTGTCAGCCGTCACCTTCCCGTGGTCAAGTACGAGGTTGGAGCTGAGGGTGAAGGTTGAAGATAGGCAGACCCCAGCCATGCCAGTGACTCTGTTTATCTATAATTACAGGAAATTGGCCTTGCCTCTCTGGGTGCGCCTGATGAGTACATTGAGAAACTGGCCACGGTAAGTCCCCTCTCTCCCTGGCAGGTAGTGGGAGTGCTTTAGACTATAGCCCTCAGATCTTCAAAGCTTTGATCCTCCCCTGAAAGCCACGCCAATTGGGGGAAATATCAGAATGTGCTGACTTACATGAACACAAATGAAATTTCACATTTTGATTTTTCCTTAATGGTTTGATTTTGAAATCAGCAGCATGCAAATATTTACATGTGATTTTAAACAAAGAATCTTAAACACAAATAGGCTGTAATGACAGCACTTGAGAACTTTTGGGCATAAAGTGTGTGTGGGGGGAAATAGCTTGGATTCATGGCTTTGAAGAGGAAATATTTACTCTCTACCTTTGCACTGGAGCCAGTGTGAGGATCTTTCCTTTATTAGATAGGAGGTGGAAGTGGGGGTGGGCTTTCCTCTTCTTGTCAAGCACTTCTCCCTCCCCAGTGAATGTGATAACACTCATCCATTGAAGCATGGAATCTATGACTCTGTACAGCAGGGGGTTTTCTTCCTACAGACTTCTTTCCAACTTGAGTGCATCCCTCCCCAGCCTCTGAGTCACATTTCTTATAATTTTCTCAGCCTGGAAGATGAAAAAGAAAGCTTTGTAAGGATATTAGAACACGAATGAATGCAAATTTATCATTAAGCTATATCAGTTTAGTAGTTTATTCTCTAGGGTAATAAACCGACTTAACTAGTAACCCATCCTTAATTCTCTAAGACCATGACTGTCTCCAGCAGCTAACTGGGACCTGGGTTCCTCTTGGCCCTGGTCAGTAGGGTTATGCCAGAATTCCAGGACCATCTTTCCCAAGCCAGGCATCTAGGACATGTTGGGCTTGGCTATTTGGAGAGGATAGGTGCAGTGGTTGGCAGTACATCAGAAACCGACCCCCCAAGTTTTAGCACAATGATGGGATACCCCCTCAATGATTTTATCACTACTGATCTCCTACCTCCCATGGCTGATGGGATTGTTGGCAAGTCTGACCAACTAAAGGGAACATCTCACTGTAGTCATGCCACAGAGAAGAGAGCGAAAGGGGTTGAGGAGTTCCTGTCCAATAGACTTACTGTTGGGGGTATCTTCTTTGGGCTTCCTCAGTACTCCCTCACTGCTTCCCAACACATCTTGCAGTCAGCCAACTCTTGATTCAGCCAGTGACTGGATAGGGTGGGACATAGGACACAGAGAAGCAACCCCAGGTCATGGTGATTCAGAGAAGAGACCTGCACAAACTCCCACCTGGGAAGTCCTGTCTTTAGCCCTGGGGCATTTGCTGCTTTTCCCCTCCTTGGGGTGTGCTGTCAACTTGATTTTCCATTCCAGATTTATTGGTTTACTGTGGAGTTTGGCCTCTGCAAACAAGGAGACTCCATAAAGGCATATGGTGCTGGGCTCCTGTCATCCTTTGGTGAACTACAGGTAAGACTCCACTTATATCCATTTTGAGATTCAACCCAGGGGTTAATCCTCAAGTGATTGGTACCTTAACACCTGTGTTTACATTGGTATGTAAACCCCAGGAGGTCCAGGATCTTTATCCATCTTGTACACTGCCATCCATACAGAAGTCATCCAATAAACATTTTGGAATAAATAAATGCATATAGTAGAGAAGGCAGTATATACCTTTATAGTATCTACACTGTGTCTGATACCAGACAGGCTGGAGCTCTGATGAGAAGTGGTCCATAGTATTTCAGACTCTCCAGCTATGTATTGACCTGGATGGCTGTCAAACACTTCTCTGCAGTTCTCCTGTGGATACATGATTTCTTCAGGGCACATGATTAAGGCACTCCTCTTGTATCCTCAAGTGATTGGTACCTTAGCAGCTATGATTTGTTCATGACTTAGGGTATTAGATGTAAACTTGAACTGCAAGTACACGGGTCTCCAGGACAGAGGGGCCTCCCGATCCCAAGGCTGAATTGTGCACACAGATGTATGGAAATACATGCCAAAAAATGTGGTTGGCTCTCATATCCTCTATTGATCATCTCACATGAAAATGGCTAGTGTGAATTCCTCCTTTCTACCTTGACTACAGATTTTAGATGGGCTTTGAAGGGTAGGATCTTCTATATGCAAAATAACTCAGTTCACTGCATTTGGGCTGGGGTGTGGAAGGAATCAGGGCGAGATGACAGAAGGTATACAGACAGCCTGACCCTGATTTAACTGTGAAAATTTTCCACTCGGGGCCCGCAGTACTGCTTGTCGGGCGAGCCGAAGCTCCTCCCCCTGGAGCTGGAGAAGACAGCCGTCCAGGAGTACACTGTCACGGAGTTCCAGCCCCTCTATTACGTGGCTGAGAGTTTTAATGATGCCAAGGAGAAAGTGAGGTGAGGTGGTGACTAAGGTGGGTCAGCGGCTCTTGGGGCCTCCTGATTTGTCTGGAGCCGCTGATCTGTGGGTGGTTGGCCAGAAGAGTGGATTCCAATGCTTACAACAACAGTGTGCAGCAGACGGAGTCTCCCCACCTTTGTCCCTTTCACTCTCCATTTTGGAGAGGTTCCTTAGTGGGACCCCATTTCACAGCTAATTGTCTGGATATGCTGACCCCTGCAGAAACTCTGCCACTGGATCCTTGCTTGAATGTAGCCACCAACTCCAGGTACTGAACTCTTCTGTGTACATAGTAGCCACAGAAGGCCCCCAACAAATCATTCCAGAAATCTTCTAACCTGGGGGAATCCCTTGTTCACTTTATTCTCCCAACACCTGCATCATTCACTTGCTCAACTCCTTCAAGTCTTTTTGACCTTTTTGACCTTTGACCTTTTGATCTTTTAACCTTCTCTGTGTGTCTTTCTCTAACCAATTTACTTTGTTTGCTTGTTTGTTTGCTTGAGAGAGAAGGTGTGCAAGTGGAGGAGAGCTGCAGAGAGAGACAGAGAGAGAGAGAGAGAGAATCTTAAGCAGGCTTGATCCCAGAGTTGTGGGATCTGAGCCAAAATCAAGAGTCAGACATTCAACTGATTGAGCCACCCAGGCACCCCATAACAAACTTATTTAAAATTCCCACACAGGGGCACCTGGGTAGCTCAGATGGTTAAACCTCTGATTTGAACTCAGGTCTTGCTCTCACGGTTTGTGAGTTCAAGCCCTGCGTTGGGCTCTGTGCTGACAGCTCGGAGTCTGGAGCCTGCTTCAGATTCTGTGTCTCCCTCTCTTTCTGCCCCTCCCCTGCTCTCTCTCTCTGTCTCTCTCAAAATGAATAAAGTTAAAAAAAAATTTTTTTTAAACTGGACTCTGTTGTTTTCTTTTCACTGTCCTTCCTTCATAGAAATGGGAAAGGAGAGAGGGACAGGTATGTCTGCTTCCCAAGCAGATTCCTTTGCCATATTTGCAAAATCAAAAGTCTTTTTTGGTACACATTGGCATGGCTAGAAGCCTTGGTTTATGTGACATCAGATTTCCTTCAGGAGGGAGACCCCTATGTGGCTCTTACCTAAGACCTTTATGGGCAATTCTTGGACCAAGTGACTTATTAAGAAAGCCTCTGGGCGGGGGAGGGGCTGGGTGGTTCAGTCAGTTAAGCATCCAACTTTAGCTCAGGTCATGATCTCACTGTCCGTGGGTTCAAGGTCTGTGTCTTGGGCTCTGTGCTGACAGCTCAGAGCCTGGAGCCTGCTTCAGATTCTGTGTCTCCCTCTCTCTCTGCCCCTCCTCTGCTCATGCTCTGTCTCTCTCTGTCTCAAAAATAAATAAAAACATTAAAAAATTTTTTTTTAAAGAAAGCCTCTGGGGGCACCAGGGTGGCTTATTTGGTTAACCAACTGACTCTGGCTCAGGTCATGGTCTCATGGTTCGTGGGTTGGAGCCCCACTTCGGGCTCTGTGCTGACATCTCAGAGCCTGGAACCTGCTTCAGATTCTGTGTCTCCTTCTCTCTCTGCCCCTACCCTGCTTGTGCTCTCTCTCTCTCTCTCTCTCAAAAATAAATAAACATTAAAAAAAATTTTTTTAAATCCCTACCCAGCCCCACCTCACATCCTTACCCCTTTCTGCAGTTTGTTTTTCTGCTTACCACTTGCTAATGTTTAATACACCAAATGATTTAAGCTCCATTTCCATAGGAATTTTTGTCCTTTCTGTTTTCCTGATCTTTCCCCCGGCTCTAGAACAGTGCCTGATACATAGTGAACATGCAATAAGTAATAGGCAAATGCATCTGTCTCAGAGGCAATTCAGCAAGAGGCTGACGGTGATGGAAAGGTAGCAAGACTCAGGCTCAGCCTTCTGAGCTGACCACCCTGTCTATAATCTGCTTGAGTGTCTCCTCCCAGCAGGAGACAGGCTGGGCAGAGGCCTCCCTGGACATGGCTATCCTGATACTCAGTGTTTGTTACCACCTCTTGTTTTATATCTGATGAGTGAGGGGTGATAGACATAGATACAGAAGTTTCTGGGACCCTATGAAGCTGAGTGTGCAGCTTCCACTGCGTTGAACTTAGATGACAGATGGTAAAACGTTGGCTCCCGGGTCCGCATGGTTTGGCCTAAGATGACTCCCTTCCTCCTATCTCTCCAGGGCCTTCAGGTTTTTTCAGTTACTCCTTTCTAGTTATTTCTTAAATCTCCACCCCTCCCTGGGAGCCTAGCCTTCCCTTAGCCCCTAAAGGCTATACTCTGCCATCTTTGGGACCTTTTGGGAGTTATGGATTTCAGTGGATTAGTGCATTACCCCACTTGGGTAATAATAATGATAATAATAATAATAATAATAAGCAGGTTAGATGTCTAATATCTATTATGTACCAAACCCTGTTCTAAGTGCTTTTCATGTGTTAATTTATTCAAGCTTCAAATAAAACTACAAAGTTTGAGGGTGGGGGTTAGAAGCACAGAGGTGGTTAGTAACTCACCCAGGGTCATACAGCTAGTAAGGGACTGACCCAGGGTTTGGATTCAGGTGTGGGGCTCAGAACCAGTACTCATAACCATTCTGTCAAACCAGGGTCACATTTAAATGGGTCCCTCCTGGTGGTGACTTTCTAACCCAGGAAGTGATCTGCTCCAGACCAGCAGGAAGACCTTGCCAGAACCTGGGTTTCTCAGGCCTTTGAAATCCCACCCGTTTTGTCAGTGCCCTCCGCCCAGAGGAGACACCCACAAAAACTCCATTCTGTTGAGAGGTGACTCGGGGTCAAAGGGAATGCTGAAGAACAGGGTTCAGAGAAGGAAGGGATGTCCTCAGAGCATCCCAGCTAAGAGAAATCAACTTTGACCATTTTCAGTGTCAAGAGTCAAGCTCTAGGCAGAAAGAAACAATGCCGAGTGTGGTCACGTGCCCATTCTCTCTGTCTGTCTCTCTTTCTCTCACTCACTATGTATCAGGCACTGTTCTCTGGCTAGAGGCGGGATGGCCCCAAGACTGACTGCCTCACTGAAGCATTTCTAGTGGTGTGGAGGCAGATTGCCCAGAGCAAAGATGAGGTAAACTATGTAAGAGGGACGAGGTGCAGAGCAGGCCACATCACAGATATGCGCTCTATGCATCATGTCACCAGCAGGGCTGAGAAAGCTCTCTTCAGAGAAATAGAGGTGGAGAGACATACTTAACCACTTGTTCCTCTTGAGTCCCCGGTCGCTGATGGAAGAGAACAGCTATCGCACATGTAGCACTTACTCTATTTTATAACAGCGTTGGCTACGACCCTCTGAGGTAGCACTGCTCTCGTTCCAGTTTTATAGAGGAATGAGGACACCAAGGTGCAGCCCACAAGGGCTGTCACTAGCAGAGGCAGGATTTGAGTCCAGGCGGCCTGGCTCTGGAACTTGGGTTTCCAGCCACCATAGTCTACCGCTCTTGCCGAACTTGGAAAACCCACTAGTTTCCCTTAGAGTTTGTCTTGTTGGGATGGCAGCTTTGACTCTTACCAGCAGCCAACTTAGAAGTATCATTTGTGATGCCGTTGCAATCTATAGGCCATTTTTGGAGTATCTTGTTCATTACATCGCTTGAAGTTCTTCATAAGGCCCTCCTGGTACTTTCCCAGATCCAGGAGTAATGCATCAAGAAGGCAAAGCAGTGAAGGGCACAGGCCAAAGTCAGACTACCTGGGTCCCTTCTCAGCTGCACGATTTATTGCCAGTGTGACCTTGATATTCATTGAAACTTCCCAAGCCTCAGTTTTCTCATCGGTAAAATAGGGATAGTAATAGTACCTTCCTCCTAAGGTTTTCATGAAGACTAAATTAGGAATGATAGTTGTAAAGCGTATACAACAATTGGGATTTCATATAGTTCTTGGTACATGGGAGGCACTCAATCCATGTTAAATTTCATTAATAGCATGGTGTTTTCTTCCACTCTTGAGAGAGGTGCTTCCCTTTCTGCATTGTTTGTCAAGCATCTCGGAGCTTATTTCATTCTATAGCATTCTTTGGCTAGATTTACTTACTCTTTTGATTTTATTTAATGGCAAGAATTTTGGCCTCAATGTATTCTGTGCTTTTACCATAAGCTACCTCTGTCTCTTTGGAGGTAGGTAACTACATAAATATGTGCCTACGTGTGTTTGTATATACACCTCAACACATACACAGCACACAAAGGCTGCCCAACAGGATCCCACTAAAACTCCATTTCCCTTCTCAGTCTGCTTTCTAAAGCCCCGGTTCTAGTAAGAGAAATGCCACTGAGAAATCTTTTAGAATAATTTGTCCCCAAATGGTGCCCTTCACTGAGCTCTGTGGATTCGGTTTCAGGAATTTTGCTGCTACAATCCCACGGCCCTTCTCAGTTCGTTATGATCCATACACCCAAAGGATTGAAGTCTTGGACAATACCCAGCAACTTAAGATTTTGGCTGACTCCATCAACAGTAAGTAACTTACACCTCGAGAGGCTACTCCGTTTACTAGAAATAGAGAGTTGGATTTTCTTACCTTCACCATAGGAACAATAAGAAATTTATTAAATATTGAATTAGGGAGAAACGTATCTCCAGGTAAGCTATTTGTTTGTTGAATGAGGAAAACTTGGCAAAAAAGGCCACAGTTGCCTTGAGTGTCTTTTCTTCTTTGACTCTCCTAGATTCCACCCTACCTCCTCCCATCATAACATCCTGGCTTGCCACTGCCGTGTTCCTCTTCCTCCTTTGCCTCTCCACTCTGTTTCCTCTAAGTGTCCAATGCATATTTCTATGCCTGGGCTTTCAACCCCTACAAGACAGATTCTCACTATTTTAATAGCCATCTACTAGCTCATCTGTGGGCCTTCTACCCTTCCAGGACAATGACGATATTATAACAGTTGCTCATAAAAATGTCACAGTGTTACATTGTTCTTCACTGGACTCCCTCTCCAGTGCTTCAGGCTCCCCTCCAGCGACATTGGCCAACTTTTAGTTTCCACACTTCCTCCTGGCTTCTGGCCTTTGCTCATGCAGTTCTTTATGTTTAAGATATTCTCATTCTCGCTCTCATATAGAAGTCCCCAACTCTAGCTCATCTTTTAAGTCTTTCACAGACATCTCTGCTTGTAGGAAGACTCGTCCGGGTGTCCTTCCTATGTCTTGGCATCCACACAGATCCCTCTCTCAGAGCATGTATCACTATATTGTTTTGTAATTATTTACTTGTCTGACTCCCCAACAAGACATGAGCAGAGGGCCAGGTTGGGTTCACTGTCAAATCCCTAGGGGTTAGCCCTAGTCCTAAAAAAGTATATTAGGTGCTCAAGAGTTGTCAAATGGATGGATGAAACTACTGAAGGGGTGAGCAGCCTAAACAGAGGAATTCTAGACCAGGTGGAGGCTCCTACCTCATGTAACGCTAACAAAGGCCAAAAATGCAGGTAGGCTTGAAGTATCCCTCTAATACCCCACTGATGTTGCCTGAGGCCACATCCAGTAGTAGAGCTGTCCCTGGCCATTATAGTCATTCTTCATTAGGTATGGCCACCTGTGACCAGACATTTTGAAAAAGTTCAAGGTTGATTCCCCACCCCTGCCCCATAGACTCCATTTTGGATACTCAGCTGGAATAGATCTGTTCACCAAAAAGGCCAGCCAACTGCTCCAGAGGCTGGGATGTAAGACAGAGGGGTCAGCCCATAACTTTTTTTTGTCTCTCTTATTTACCTTTAAAAGGCAAGAGTAACTTTGTTTTTAAGAGAATTTTTTAAATCACAGAATAACAGATTTAGGAATTGAAGGGTCCTTAGAGCAATGTGACTCCATCACCTCTCTATACTTGTTTCCTCAGGATCTAGGAGAGCAAGCTTGTCCATCTCCAAGATTCCTTCCACTTCTCTGAAGTGTCTATGTTCCTGTGGCCTCTTGGCATGTGAGAACATGGCATGAATGGGAGTGGACTCCATCGTAGTCCAGTGGTCTAGCGATCTAGGCTGAGTTATCTGCTCAAACCAAGCATTCTCATGCCTCAGAATGAGTACATCAGAATCATTGGAGAGCTGGTTAAAAATGAACAGTCCTGAGTCATAACCCCAAACTAAATTTGCTAAATTTGTGGTAAGGCTGAGAAGTTTGTATTTGTAATAAGGCCCTAGGTGATGTTGACACAGGAGGTTTGTGTGAACCACATTTTTAGGTTTCATGGCTTAGATCCTTGCAAGCATGTATAGATGTCCCTATTAAGGAAAAAGAAAGAAAACTAACTCTTTCTATGGAAAGGTGAAGCTAACTACATTAAAACTTGTAAGTCCCTATGCTATAACTGCCCAAATACTATCACCATAACTATTCTGTAAGCTCCTTGAAGGTTGGGGTGGTGCCCAGAATATCCATACATCCCACGCATCCTCTAACATGTTGTACATTGTAGACATTTAAGGGTATTTTCTTAAGATATGAGTGGCTTTTTTTTAATTTGTAGGTGAAGTTGGAATCCTTTGTAGTGCCCTTCAGAAAATAAAGTGAAGCCATGGACAAAACCTGTCAACTGAGAATCTGTTGATGGAAATCCAGCTACTTTCATTTCATCTGAAAAAGTCTGAAAAGCAAACCTTAATTTGAATTGATAGCCTTAAATCCTTTTTTGGAACAAGATGGAGCACAAACAAATAAATCAAAATAAGTTGAAATGACAGTGTATTAAGACACACCCAAAAGCCTAATCTTTTGGGGTCCTCTTTGATTTAAAGATGGTAATCCCATACCCTCAATTCAGTTAAAATCAATAGTATGTCACATTTCATCAGTTAATTAAAATTTAGGACCTGATTTATTCAAGCTTCTATATGTCACTCGATGTAAAACACAAGCCTGTCATTAGAATTGAATTTGTTGATTTAATCTAAATCTTAACCTACGCAAGTAATTTTTTATTTCAGTGAACTATGATTCTAATATTGCTGTGTTTTACCCATGTAGATTTCCTTTAATTCAAGAGCCCATTAAAATACTTATAAAGGTTGAAGTTCATAGCATAATATCTTATATTTTATTGTAATCGTACATACTACTGTGGAAAGTATAGAAGTTCTCACCTGACTCCCACAACTTTGAATCTCATCTTCCAGTTAATTGTCAAGTCTGTTTTGGGAGATATTTTGCAGACATGTGTGATGCGACAGATGTTGACTGAAGGCCTGGCTGGTAGATATTCAGTAAATATTCATTCAAAGAATAAGGGAATACATTATTAACTAGCAAATCCTCAACAAAAATGAGAATTTTAGTTATGTTTAAAAAAAGTCTAGTGGTTATAAAATTTTGCAGTTTCAACTTCATTCTTGGATTGAAATATTCCTCTCCATTCCCCTAGAAATACATTAACTGGATAATCTTGTGACATGAAAAAATGATCAGCCAAAGATTTCCAACCCATTACAGGAGTGCATTGTGATAATCGATGTTATGTCTGGATAGTCAACAGATTTTGACTTCTTATTGCTTGTGCATTTTGCACAAACACATGAAGATCCAGGAAATGGTGGGGAAAATAACAGTGTCTTTAAAGCTATGCTTTGAAATTCTCAACCACTTTAACACTTCATTTTGGAAATAGTTCAGTGTCAAAGAACTTGCATAATATTTCTTCACATGTGATTCTCAGGCCAGCTGTATCATCATCAATGATAAATCCTGGGCACATCCCAGCTCTATAAAACTAGAAACTCTGGGTATGGGGCCACTGAGACCTACATTTTTAAGTACCCCAGCTGATTTTTTTTATGCCCAGCCAAATCTATCAGGTACGTTAAATTTGAGAAAACCTGACTTCTGGTGGCCAGTTCTGCCACTTATCAATTATGTCACTTTGTATAATTCACTTTGGATCTCGGTTTTACTTGAACAATGAAGGAGTTTAACTGGAGGAATCAAGGTTTCTTCCAGCCTGGAAATACAATTCAAATGCTACCATGTGTCTTTAAACAGATGTCCCTGATCCACCAATAGTGTGTAATAATACCAGCCCAAGTATGCTACCAGGTGGGAAGAGCGATTTGGTCTGTGTCTGAGATCTCATTGCTTTGGAGTTGGGTTTTCATGTCTGTATTTAGTTCCTCATGGCTCTGTAGAACCCACTGACAAACGCTGATTCTAAAAGTGACAGTGTTCTTTTTTTCTGTTTCTTTAGGCCCCAAATACTCTGCAAAGGGACTTTTTTTGTAAATGTTTCTTTACACTAAATGTAAATCCGAGAATCTCTTGATTTGGGAACTAAAATGTTTTATAGTACTTTAGACTGGGTATTTTATTTTATAGTGATTTTTAGTCTTACTGAAAGTAGTTTTGTGCGTTTGAAGTTAAATCTTAGGTTTAGGTTGCAATTTTGCAGGAAGAAATTACATACTGAAAGATGATCTTTAAGTGTTTAGTAATGTGTTACTCAGCACTTAGCTCTTTTTATCTGGATGTAAAAGCCCAACCTACAGCAATGGATTCAACATGTTTTCATGGGTTAGTATTATTATCTGCCTAATAATTAATAAATGAGCTGTTTTTTTTAAAAAAACAATAGTAATGCTTTACTGATAGCTATCCTGTTGTATCCAAAAAAGAGAGATAAATGTAAGAACATTACAAATTTTTTTTTTAATTTTTTTTTCAACGTTTATTTATTTTTGGGACAGAGAGAGACAGAGCATGAACGGGGGAGGGGCAGAGAGAGAGAGGGGGACACAGAATCAGAAACAGGCTCCAGGCTCTGAGCCATCAGCCCAGAGCCCGACGCGGGGCTCGAACTCACGGACCGCGAGATCGTGACCTGGCTGAAGTCGGACGCTTAACTGACTGCGCCACCCAGGCGCCCCAGAACATTACAAATTTTTATTATTAGTGTTCAATAAGTTTCTAACAGGATGAATCTAAATTTCAATTATAGGTTCCTAAGTTATATAGTTTAACTATATCAAATAATCTAGCACTAAAATGTCAACTTCATAAAAATGTGAACCTTGCCTATCTTCACCTTTAAAAGCCTTAGCATGTAATACATAGTAGGTGCTTAATAATCTTTAAAAAAATTCTGAGTGAATTGAATCACAGGGAGTGTAGCGAAGATTGTCTCTCACACATAAGCTATTTTTCAAGAAAAACTTGGGAAGCAACTAAATCTGCAATTTTCCTTTTTAAATTCTGTTGAAAACGTTGCATCTTAATCTAAATTATGACCTTACTTTAAAAATATATGTATTAGCCCTGTAGACTAGATTATGGCTAGGTAGTTTGTATTTATACTGCTTTGATAATAAATGACATATGAAAGTGCTTAATAAATGTTTGTTAATTAATAAAGGAAGCAAAATGGCATCAATGAAATGTCTCAGTTATCCACGGTGGGGCTGAAATGGTCAGAGAGCAACGAATGGCTTACCTAACAACTGCAAAAAATTACAGAGGAGGCAAAATAGGAAAGGCTATAAATACGGACTCCGCAAAGGGAAGAGAAAAAAAGTGATCAAAGCTTCTTCTCTTCAGTAGAGTGTGTACCCACCTCCCTGCCCCCACACAACATCCCTGCCCTCTAATAGCTTTCTTGTGCAGTTTCAAAAACTATAAACAGTAGTAGATTTGTTATGTGCTAGTAACAGCTCTAACAGTTTGTGTGCTGTGAATTTTCTCATTTATAATCTTAAGTTCTGCTAGTTCCAAGATACAGGTTACCTTCTCATATATATTAAGCTTAAAGAATAAGCTCAGAGAGATAAGCAATAGCAGAGAAGACTGAATCTAACCCTCCAGTGTATATATACAACTCTTCTTACAATATAATTCATAGCTGTTCAGGGTTGCTCTTCAACAGTACTTCTTTTGTATGTTTCTTGCATTTTGTTTGTTTTATGACAGCAATCTCTAAATAATAGAACATTAATGGAAAAAAAGACAAGAAGATGTACCTCCCTGAGATATGGATAGACTTCTTACGTCTCTTAGTAGATGATGTTGCTGCAGAAAGCGTAGCACCCGCTTATTTTCCAGTTTGCCCAAATGGATAAAAAAATAAATGATTATAGCTTGAACTGCAGCCTTTATTTTTTTCTCAGACCATTCTTTGGAAAAAGGTGATGCCAAAAGAAAGTAAGTGTATCAGTATCCCTTATTGAAATTATAAAAATTGGTGCATACTTTGATGTTTATGATTTATTCTTCCCAGAAGTGAATTAAGGAATATCTACTTAAAAAGAAAGAGACTTGGTCTTCCCTGAGATGTCTTTATTCCTAAAGGTTCTCAAAGAAATGTCAGTTGCATCCTGTCCTTTTTTGCAATAACCTTGCAAGTGGAGATGTTTGTGTGGCAAAGGGCTGATTTCTACTATTCCTTGTGAGTGGTCACGGGAGAGTGGTGTTTGGACTTAGAAAAGAGGGTTAGTAATGTATCTTTGTTTGTGTCGTTGAGTTTTTCCCTTATGTCTCTCCCTTCAAAAGTGTGGGTTTCTTTGAGAAGTCACTTATCCAGTCACACACACACACACACACACACACACACACGCACACATGCACACACCATCCCTTTGACCTCTAAGAGGACATAAGATGATTTGGGAATGAGTTGAGGGCTCTGGAAACAAGGATAGAGAGGCTGGCCTTTCCCATAAACATCTACTGACCCTGTTTGAGAATAATGCAGTTTGAAGCCATTCTTTAGAAGGCCTTCCGCGATTGGCACCACCCAGAAGTAGAGAATCAGCCTGGAACAACAGCATTACTTGCAAAGGGTAACTGTTGGACCATGAAGGGTTTTAAGCTCCTCCAGGGTCCTAATACTCCTCTCCACCACCATCCCTGATGCTGTGGTGCCCGAAGAGCTCTGTTTCCTTGACCTAACAAAAAGTCAGACTTGGGAGTAAGGAAGGAGAAAACAGAATCTTTCCAAAACTTTCAATTCCCTGGATGTCCTTGGGAAAGCCGGAGATACAAGAGGCTCCCTGCCAAGTCTCTCTTGGGAAAAAGAAAGTTTTGTACAGTGGAGGGCAGTCTGGGACTAAACAATCATGGTTTTATGACTTGACTCCTCGGAAGACAGTGTGCTGAGGCTGGAGAGCAATGAGAGGATAAGACCATTTGAGCCTTTCAGAGCAGAGTTTCTCAGCATTGTCGACAGTTCCCATGACCAGCAAGGTGTTGTGGGCACAGAGGGGAGTGGTAAAACCCCAAAGCCTATCCTTTTATAGAACAAAAGTCAGAATGGCGTAAGGCCATGAAGAAGTTAGTACCCAGACCAGGAAACACGATTCTGATGATTTTCTCTGCTCACTGCAGACTTTGAATACATTTTGGCTGAGTAACGGAAAGACAGAATAGATAAGTGTGATATTTATTCTCTTGGTGGTAATGACCAGTTTTTTGCACTTTATACAGAGGAAAGCCAGGTGATTCCTTTCACTGCTTTTCCTCTTTCTTTCACTTTCTTTTTTTTTTTTTTTTTTTTTTTTTTAGTGATGCACTCCCACATGATACTGTTTGAAATGGAA